GCTACATTGAAAGATGAGCACTTGGCTATTTTTTGGCAGGGGTAACGAAATATATCGGCTGTTCTCTAAGTGTTTCTTAATGCGTTGGCCATCGGAATATAATATAACTACATAACTCATAAGCTTGATAGATATGTGACGAGTTTCACAGGCACAATCCTATTTTAAATACTATGGCTTTTGGCAGTTTTGCATCATATGTGCAGTAAAAGCCCCATTTTTCTACTTCCTCAACGTGTAAAACGCGAAAAAACTTTATTAATAAGAACAAAAATTTGTAATAAAAATTTGTAGTAAACAGTGTATTTTATTATAAAGGATTTTCGTTTTTCTACTGCTCCGTAGTTCGTGTGCTCCGTGCTCCGTGCTCCGTGTGCTCCGTGCTCCGTGCTCCGTACTCCGTTCTCCGTGTGCTCCGTGCTCCGTGTTTTACTAATAGCCGAAAAACTGTTGTTTTGACAGTTGTTAAAAATAGCTTGCGGCGGCACCTTTGAACTTTCATCCCGGCATCCGGGCTAGCCCGCTTGTGAGTGTTTATATGGATAAATTTCCATCCTGGTAAGTGAGATCTCGCTTCTTTCAAGCGAGATCTCGACAACCGGGCCAAGCCATATTAACACACAATGATTTTTACTACAAAAATGACTACACAGTGAGATGTCGCTTACTGGCCTGTCTCGCTAAAGCCGAGGCTAAAGCCTGGTTCACACGATGAAATAAGCATAAGCATAAGCAAGCGGAACCTTTGATGTAAACATAAGAAGAACAAATGTTGCGTTCTTCTTATGCTTACGTTTATGCACATCAAAGGTTCCGCTGCTTGTGCCTATGCTTATTTCATCGTGTGAACCAGGCTTAAGCGGGCCAGCCTAAAGCGAGTCAACTCGCTTAGCCGGGACAACTCGCCCATGTAATCGGCCCCTTATTCCGTCTACCCTTGGAAATCAAAGTACTTTCCAGAAGGGTGTTATTGCAGATCATTGCATGGTTGCACGCAAGTATGCCGAGAAGGCGAGAAGCCGTGGGACACACAAAACTGGACGAGTTTGAGAACAGATTCCTGTGTGAACAAATGGACCGGACGAATTCGGACATGGCAACATATTTATAAACCCTACAAAAATGATGCGAACGAATTTGCGAAAATCGCGCTCACTTTTAATTTGGCGGGAAAATTTTCAAATTGCGCGGGGAAGTGGTCAATACTGCCAAAACAAGATGGCGAACGACTGTGTTTGAATCATTTAATAATAAAAGTCCATTTTCATTTGCAGCCACGGCTTGATGGTGCTAAATAGTATGGGAAACTATAATTAAATGGAAGGGGGGAAAGTTTAATATGTCACTGGTAAGTGAAATAGACGGTGTTATCGCGAAATTAAATGCTGTAAAAGAGAAGGCTAAGCGAAGTTCAGCGAGGATTGAAGATGGAGTCTTTGCAAAATGTGTTGAAAACATCTACGGCCTTGTGGACGACATGGACAAATGCTTAAATGAAAGAATATCATGTGCTTTCGATGATGATGTTCATGATGGTAAGGTTTTAAGGTATATACTTAATTGTATTAAGGTCTTTTAATATTGTTATATTGGATCATTTGTCAGTTGACTCAGTTTATATCAGCTGAAATTCAAGCCAACGGCCATCCATTTCCATTTAATATCAGCCCCCCCTCCCTCCCCTCTTCCCAGTTCCCGTTGCCATTCCTTTAATATTAAAGGTGTGGATAACCCAGGGTGCATTCCATGTAAAGTTGCAAACTCTATGCCAGAGATGCCAATATATATAAAAAGCCATGTCAAAATGGACAATCATGTGCTTTTCAGGCTCTCACAACCAGGATACCCACATCACCAAAGTGCTTTTCAGTGGGGTCCTGTAATTATAAACTTCAATGATCTATTACAGTATAACATGCGTTATTTATACTGTATTGTTTGTATATCTACACATACTGTAACATACATTAGCACCTAACGATAAAACTACATAATATATACATTATTTACGATACAATAACTTATCTAATAATTAGTAACATTAGACAAACAAATGGGATATAAAGAATAATTGAAAGAAAGAATCAGAAAAATCGTCGGATAAAGAGAGGGAGAAAGATGAAGAAAGGAAAATAGTGAAACAAAGGAATTATGCCAACAACTTTGAGTAAATATATCATGCCAATATGCAATAAATTTTGTAATAGGAGAAATCTGGCATGTAGATATTTTATCCCAAATTCTTGGTTGCTTGTTTTAACTGTTAGAAAGTATTGAATATTTTCCAGACACAAAAGTCTGTCATGAAACAGTGATCATGTGAACATCACTGATGATGTTTGTTCATAGATCAAACCCAAACTGTACACCACAAGTCATAAGCAACAAATAGATTATGATAAAATTATGAGATTTAACATGGAATCTCAGAAACATGGGATCTCAGAAACATATATTCCCACCATGTTTGTATTAATTAATTTACCCATTAAGTTGCATTGCACCCTACTATTCACCCTACTTTATTATTTACTCAGTGTCTATCACAAGACCTTCTCACTCATCAATGGGGAGTGCTGGCACTCAATGGGTTAATCATCTGTCTATATCTCAGTTAACCCATCAGGCATCAATAAAAATGTACTTGTGCGAGCACCACTCGCAGGCACCTTTTGAATTTTTGCAGGCACATTTTAAAATAATGACATTTTAACAATATTTAGGTCACAAAATCAAAAAAAGATGTGTTTTTGCTGGCACATGTTGAGTTTCACTTGCGGGCACCGAAAAATCTTAATGAGGCCTGCCCTAATACACCCTACTTTATTATTTACTCTGTCTATAAAAGGGGGTCATTCCATGTCAAATCATCAGAGGTTGTAACCCACAACTTTGGATTTGGCTAATTTTTTTGTCATCTGTAGACATAGGTAAGAAATGAACGTATACAAAGTTTGAAGTCAGTATCTGAAATGTTTATTGATTTATGGCTGATCAAAAATTTCCCGATTTTAGCGTTTCAGCTACCTTAAATTTCACTTCCGGTACAACATCTAACTTTGAAACCTCTTAAAATCTTTTGTATTTGTCCTATTACTCTGCCATTTCGCATTATAAACCTTTGTGGGATGGACAATCTAAAAACATATTTCAAATATGATAAAGTAGCAGTATACGCAATATTTTTGCCAATAAATTACGACATCCAGTTTTCACAAGTTTTTGACGTCATCGTTTCAGGGCAAATTTTCGTCATGTCTCTGACCAATTATGAGGTTGTGGTGTATGTCATGTGAAAGAACACACTTCAAACTATCAGAAAACACTAATTGAAGCATTTGCATATGACAGAGACAAATTGCAGCTAAGGTTCAAAAAACATAATTTATAAGACATTTTTCTGGCATTGAAAATATATAATAAATAAATATGGAAACATTTGTTATACTGATGAATATAGCACACACATTCTATCTTTGCATCTATTTTGAGCTGTGGACCCTCAAAGGTTTAATTTGGTTAGAAATTTTGCATTTATGTTCCTGCAGTCTTGTGCATCAATAGTATATGTTCGACCCGTTGCAGTTACAGGAGTCTGAACTTGACAAATTACATCTGTTATAGGTACCCAGCATACATCAGGTCTGTGTGGCCAACGAAAACTTCTTGCTAGTCCAGGCAGGTGTAGGAAGTTGATCTTCACGTCTTGTTCCACTTTGTTAACCTCCTCCACAACACCAATCCACCACTTCTCATCGTATCTGCATGCGACATACTCATTAAGACGTATGGCTTCTGTGGTGATGTCTGGCTCTCCGGTGATATTGAATGAACCCGTCAGGGCTCTCAGAATTATTCAGAGTAGGTGTCTGTTTTGATAAAGTAGACGGCTGTAGGGAGGGGACGGTCTAGTTAGCCTTAAAGTCATCCAAATTAATTAGGTACATTGATTAGATAGCAACACAGCACAAATTATGATGTACAGTATATCACTACTTTCATTTTTGAACAAGATTTATTATAAGATGGCAAAGAACCAAATCATTTTTACGAAATAGTACGTCGTTTTCGAAAATAACCAGGCTATACCTGTAAATTAGTATAGACCAAGTTGAGGAAAATAACTTTGCTTGAAAGCTTAGAGTGGAGGAACGAGAGCAGAATTGATGTTTCAAGTACTAAACAAAGTAACCGGCGGTATTTAAACCTCGTGCCACCCGCCGGAGCTCCGGTGGCCGCCGGGTATTTTGAAAGCCCTGAAATGCATCATCTTCTTCCGTACGTTTATATGCAATGACATTCGTACTTACTGGTATAAATAAATGGTAACTTCTCCTTCCAGGTATGGTGTGACCCATGGCAGATCGTTCCTTTAATTCAGCTCTAACATCTTCCATTCTTTCCTTCGAAATATAAATAATTCTATGCCGGGGATGTTTGTCTTACAAAAGGCCAGCATTGAAGATACATCCAAAATTTGTTCCGAGTAAGGCCGTTGTAAGCTTGCTTGTACCGTTAATCTCGTGAATCTCGTTAATCTCTTTCACGCCCCTCATGGAAATCAGCTTCGGTTGACGGGTCAGCGTGTTTAAATAAAGTTTATCTATCTGTACCTCCAATGCCGTCACATGGTGATTTGCCATGACTTGTCGCAAAGAAAACCCAAGTTGCGTCAATTCCAAAATCCACTTTGTGTCGACACAAATTTAACATGTTCTTGTAGTTTTTGTATTGGGCTGCACATCCGTCAGAAAAATACTCAACTTCAGTTAAGGTCGGCACTGTTTCTTTTAGAATCTTAAGTAATTCGCGTTAGATCTCATAAACAAATTCAGTATCATGTTCTAGATAGTCTGAAATAAAACAACGAATTTTGGGCAAGTTTACCGTTTGCTTTGTAGTAACCAACGGCAGGATGCAAAGTACAATATAATTTACTCCAGTGAAATGATTGAATCTCGTCCTGTACCACGAAAGTATAGTTTTCTGCAAAATCTCCAAGAACTAACGCGTAATCATCTGGACGTCATTCCTTTCTTCGCTTGAGGTATTTGGTCTGACATTTAGAAATATAGGAATGTGACCTTATGTTATCAGTAGCCTCAACCAGCAACTCTATAAATTTGTCAACGCTCAAAGTTTGCGTAACCATCATCGAGCGATCAGTAGTTTGCCATTGTTGAAATGTGACCTCTTCATGTTCTTCCAGCCGTGTTTCAAGGTATTCGCGTAGAAAATCTGTCCCTGGACATTTGTTGCACCTGTGAACCATACAAGTTTTACTGTCACAGTCTGTGACCTGTCTTTGTGGCATTAACTAAAAGTTTGGCGTTTTGGTGAATTGTGCATACGCAAACAGAATGCCTGGCACTTGAGCCAACTGTAACGCACCATTTTTGACGCAATACAAAATTTAGAAAACCCAATCTTTACTTTACTTTACTTCTTTACTGGGTTTTTTTCTTTGAAGAGTACATGCATCTCTTTCAGGTTGCATAAAAACGATCGCTTTTGCTTGTGCACATTCCGTTTAATGCTCACAAAGTCCTTTTTACCTGGCATTAATACGCGAGTGTGCGTCATCTTCAAAGAATAACTGGATTTTGTCTGTTGTGCTTGCTGGAAGAGGTTTACCACGGTTTTCCCCCTCCTGAAACCAGTTATCTGCACATATGATGTTTTATGGCAATCTCCTGGATTTACACCAAAACAAAAAAATGCAATTAATACTATGTTCACGCAATAACTTTTATAATTCCTTTACTTGTCACTCGATGTGAATTTTAACTATAACACAGTTGTATTAGACGCTACATATTTACCTTATGATTTACGACATGTGATTGATGCTATTGCTATAAATTTACATTTCTAAAGATACTATACTAGTATTTCACTGGAATACGTATTATTGGTGGTCAATACAGGACTCATAAACTTATTTAGCATATAAATGGACCTTTCACCTTTTGACTAAAATTTAGATCTCAACAAGTGTACACAAAAACATCACAACTTGAAAGAGCATCACAAAATTAGTAATATTCCAAAGTTTCGTTGCAAAATGTTGTAAAATGCGGATAATATAGCCTTGCGAAGTTTGCCGTTTTTCAGTCATTTTGTATTACAAATGGGAAATACAGGGTGTATCAAAAAAAGTAAGACAATTTTGAAATTGCTCTCAATTCCACAATTCTGTTCATGAAATGTAATTTTTGCTATATATGGATTGCTTGAGTTCTTAAATTATGGAAAATATAAAAATTTTTGAAAATAATAAATTTTGCTATCCAGGGGGGTGGTCAACTTTTGCTCCCCTAAAAGTGGCTTGCGCACGGAAATGACAAACGGTATTCTTTATTTGAGTTCATGTATGAAAAGTTCGCTATTTGTTGCATTTATGATAAAATTTCGGCAGGATTTTACCGAGTACAAATCCTCCGAAAAGCCTATGAAAACGTTACATTTTTCTCTGTTGGTGCTGTTCTTGCTTCATTATGAATTCATTTTTACTCCCATGAGAGTTCCATGGAATTTCCATGGAATTTGTGCTTTCGAGTTGTTTGTGCTGAAACGCATTTTCTCGTATAATACCCCGTACACTTTGAAATGGCGATGCCACAATGTACCCCGCAGCACTAAACTTGGTTCGCCAAAGTTTCACGAAAGAATATCCAGATGTACGATGCGAATACGTGAAGGTTTCAAAGTTAGGTGTTGTACTGGAAGTGAAATTTAAGGTAGCTGAAACGCTAAAATCGGAAAATTTTTGATCAGCCATAAATCAATAAACATTTGAGATATTGACTTCAAACTTTGTATACGTTCATTTCTTACCTATGTTTACGGATGATAAAAAAATTAGCCAAATCCAAAGTGGTGGGTTACAACCTCTGATGATTTGACATGGAATGACCCTGGGCTGGGAAAAATAGGGGGGTGGGTTACTATTTTTGAGCACGGTTGAAGGGGTGGGTCATCGAAAGTTAAGTGCAATCATAAGGGTGGGCCATGTAAAAATATGCAGAAATTGTTTTATGGGCATGTGTATTAAAATTCATATCATAAAATAGAAATAAAACGTAATCTGGATCCATGTGTAAAATTTATACCGCAAACGTTAACCTCAAACTTAAAAGCTGAATTTACTATCTTGGCTAAGGTACGTTAGTAGTGGCTAACTAATTAATTTTCTGATAATCATTATTGCTAAATGTCACGAGCTTGGTGTACGATGTTTATTATGTAACAAAATTAGTGTAATTTCTATGAGAGCATAGTTAAATCACAATCATCGTTAGCGGTTTGGCGTTAGCTGTAAATGTCAAACTAAAGGTCTCTAATTATGGGAAAGAAACTGCATAATGCAGTATGCATGGGAAGTTCCATGCAAAGAAAGGCATTTCTGTATTTAATTCAGGGCCTCTTTTAACATATACAGTAGACTGGGGAGGACATGTCCCCCCAGCCCTCTTACTGGTCCCTCCAGTTGGTAATTTTGTCCCCCCCCTCCCCTGTGAGGTTCCTAAGAACTACCTGCAGTAGGTTGTAACCAGCAATTATGTACACCAAAGTGAGAAAACGATGTTAAGTTGTTAACCATCATCTAACTATGAGTCAACCGAGTCAATTGACTCGCTAGGCCAGAATTTGGGGACTGAAATTTAATTAGTAAAAACATATTGCCAGAAACCTAAACCATGACTGAAATAATTTGCTCGTGCAGAAAGGCATGAAATGGCTTTTTAGGACGAAACTCTAGTTTAGTTTTTCCAAGCAAAGATATTCCAAAGAGACCACCCTATCTTGCTCTTCAGTGACACTGAGAAGAAGAATGTGTCGATTTCAAGTACCCCAATACATGTACTGTAGAATTTGAAGTGTGGTGAATGATAATACTATACCACACACATATTTTAATTACCGCATCATCACACCATGTTGCCTTAATGGGGCTGGATTACATTTGGGAGACTGTGAAACTGTAGTAATTGTGTCACTGTTTATGAGGTTAATTTGTTGTTAAAAAACTCCTCAAAATGCAGGAAATAGCTTATCTGAGCTTCAAGAAATCCAAAATTTTCTGGGGGGCATGCCCCCAGACCCTCTAGAAGCTCGCACCTTCTGTGGTCAACTCGGTTGTCTCAGAATCCTAGTTACAGCCTGATCTGCTGCCCTAGCTATGACGTATACTTATCAGTTAAACCATGCATATATATATGCTGGTAGCTGCAGTGATACAGACTTGCCGACTGGAACTTCTCCAGGTCCCCCGCTAAATATGTCTGTCCCCTCCAGTTACACATCCTTAAAGGAGGCCCTGAATTTTAATTGCACCATTTGAATATAGCTATTGAGTATTGTAACAGAATTATTTGGCAACAGAAAAATAGAATGCTGGTATCTTTTGCCTTTCTGAAAGGGTGGGTCATAATTTTCCAACACCAATTTAAGGATGGGCAACAAATTTCCGTGCCGCTATTAAGGGGTGGGCTCCCAAAAGTGCAGACCCCAAATATATGATTTTCCCAGCCCCCCTTTTACTTTATGATCGGTCCCTAATGCAAGATGTATGTTTGCACTTATCAAGGGAGGAATACTGACACTCAATGGGTTAGTCATAGTATCATACTATCTGTCTATGTCTCTGGTTAATTAACCCATTAAGTTCATTGTGCCCTGATTAATGCACCCTACTGTACAATTGAACCTGTATTAAGTAGTCACCATATTGGGGGTTTTGCAAATGATTAATACAGGGTGAGCACTTAATGCATGTCTTATGCAAAAATACATGTATCTTGCACATCTTACGTGTCATTTAATATTTACAGGATAATATACAGTATATCAATAAGTATTTGCAGGATAATATATATCAAATGAATGGTGTTATTGAGACCTTTTGAAAACAAGAGAACAACTGGACATAAGAACAAATACAAAATCACTGTGGAAAATAGTCTTTGATTTTTGTTTGTGTGGGAACTTGTGGAGGACAATAAACAAGGATGGCACAGAATGAGCCTGGTTGTTTCCACATCATTTTTACGGCTGTTAAACAGCCCCAAAAGCTTGCTCTTGAATTGAGTTTTGAAACTATATTATAAGATGTATATGATGTCAAGTTGCTCCCTGGTGGAGTAAATTAACCCAATGAGTGGGAGCACTCTACCCTAGAGGAGTAAAAGTGTCTAGTACATGTTAGCAGAATAAAATATCAGGTTATACAGTAGGACTCATCAGGATGCCACTTACTGCAAAGGGTTACATGTACCTGGTAAGTGTTCAGCTGGGCACATTGCCACTTAAAGGATTAAGTATCCACTGATAACTATAGCATCTACATGTACGCAAGATGATATTAAATAAAACAAGTTCTGAATAGATGCCTCTTGCATATCCAAATTTTTTATCAAAATACAAACATTTGTTTTGATTTTTAATCTGTATCTTAGATTTTCAAGATCTATTTGCAATTAATGTTTCAGTTTACAACAAATGCGAGTTGGCAAATTGCAATCTAATGAATGTTCTTTTTAAGTTGCTTGTACCAGTCGTTCGACTATGAAAACATCTGCAAGTCCAGTGTCTAATCAAAAGTGCAATGAAATATTGTCGGAGAGTGAACTATCAGCATTTGTTAAAGATGAAAACAGCATTTGTGAAATTGATGATGATGACTGGGGAGATTTTGATGATATTGACAATTTTATATCTGAGGTATACTGTACATCCTCTACTATATAAGTAGTCCTTTCCTCTACAATTACCCTGTATCTTTAATAAATGTTCCGCCAATGTGGATTATAATGATCTGCAATTGGCTATTTCCCAAACAATTAAAACACTAAATGGCTGATTAATTATATTCTGTACAGATATGTTGACCGATCAGATACTGTAGAGTACATAGTTTTCTGAGTACTGTTCAAAAAGCATGCAAGAACAATAACACAATGTTTTATTCACGACAGACTTCACTCTGACGGGCAACAAAAGTTTATGGTACCAAGTTTATCAGACATGTATGTAGAAAATTCGACAAGAATAGGGACCAAGAACGTTTGTGTTGCATGGATTGTTGCTTACCAAGTGTGATCAGTCATGATTGGTCATGCGGGAAGTGTCAGCATGACCATTCAGTGTAAATATTGAAAAGCTGGCTGACCATTTTTGACCAATCCGGAGCAACTGCATGCTTGAGCAGATATTTTTCAGACCTAAGCAAAATTGTTATAATCCCCACTCATGCCCTCTATAATAAGCTGCTTTCCCTATATGGACTCTTCTCTAATAAGCCTCATCTCTAATAACCCACTTTCCAATTAGGCCTCCTCTGTAGTAATGCCCACCTCTCTTATAAGTAAGTTGCTTCTTTTAAGCCCTCCTCGCTAATCAGCCTTCCCTTGAATTACCCTGTGTCTAATAAGCCCTCTCTGTCTCTATTAAACTTCTATCAGTAATAATCCTTCCTAATGTTCCCATCTCTAATAAACCCCCTCTAAGATGCCACCTCTCTAAAATGCTCCCTCTCTAAGATGCCCCCTCTCCAAATAGCTCCCTTTCTAATTAGCCCCTTCTCTAATAGGCCCTTCTCCAATATACCCATCGTCAATACGGCCCTTCAATAAGCCCCCTCTCCAATAAGCCCCCTCTCCAATAAGCCCCCTTTCCAATAAGCCCCCTCTCCAATAAGCCCCCTCTCTAATAAGCCCCCTCTCCAATAAGCCCCCTTTCTCCAATAAGCCGCCTCTCTAATACGGTTTTGATAGTGCTAAACAATTAAAATATGAAGTATTGAATAATTTCATGGAGGGATAGCATATTGCTGCTTGGATACTGCTTAAAAAATCCTGATTTAGGCCCCAGTTGCACGATACCGGATTCGCATCGGAGCGACATCAAATTTTACAGTTTCAAGTTTTTGCACTCAAAATTATGATAATATAACAGAGTTAGTCAAAAACCTGAAATATGAAAAGTTGTATGAGGCCGAAAAGTGCTCGACTCGCTCCGATGCGAATCCGGTATCGTATAACTGGCGCCTTATAGCACTGTCATGCAGTTTAACATTGTATTTGGAGAGTAATCTAAAGTGCTGTAATTATATTTGTTAGGTTGATGTGGATGAATTATGTAACAGGAGCATGCAAGACAGCAATCAGAGCTCATCTCCACCAGACGTACCTTCTAGTAAGTTCAGTTATTATACATTCAAATTTTATTCTAGTCCATGATTGGTCAGGAATGCCCGGCTGATTCTCCGCCGGAGTTCGGGCCAAAAGTTGTTATTGCTTGCTGTAGAACCTAAATCCCCAGTGTAGCTTGTAGAAGATTTGCAGCTCTTTTAAAAAGGAAATTAGACTTACCAAATTTACCAAACCAAGAAAGATAAATTGAGTTTTGAACTTTGTGCACAAAGTTTTTTCCAATCACATAGAGTATATTTACCAATATTAAGGCCCATTTCCACTTGAGAAAATTTCCCACGGACAAAGGATTATCCGAAAATATCATTGTTACTGTAAAACTTGAAAATTTTCAACTTTCCATGCGAAAAATTTGTATCAGTCAATCACATTTTACAAAATTTTCTTTCTGCGGTAAATTTTCCTGAGTGAAAATGGGCCTTGTGAAGTTAGTTCTTTGCAAATATTTGAAATCAATATGATGAACATCACAGTTACGATATATATAACCTCGTATATAAATATAACTATTGTGAATCACAACGAAGGCATGAACCTTATATCAACATATCAACAAGGCGAATACTTTTCGGTTGTCTGACGTATATACCGGCGATGCACCCCCTAAATAACATCATAAATCAAAACACACCCATTTTAGTCGACTCTTAAGCGCTGTCGCCCTTGAAGAGTAAAATTGTCTGGTATTAGACAGTGTGTATAAATAAAGTATAAATAAAGCAAGGCGCAATGCAACTTAATGGGTTAATATTGTTAAAGCATGAATATGAGCATACTGTAATGTGGGCATCTATATATACTCCATATAGAACTAATTGTAGAATAGTTTTGTACAGTAGATGGGAATTTCGAGTATAATTTTATACATTTATTTAGACCTAACCAGGAACAGTTGCGAAAAATGCAACTAAAGTATAGGCCCTCTAGTAAGAATCGAACTTGTGGCCCTGCGATTCCGGTGCAGCGCTCTAACCAACTGAGTTACAGAGGCCAGTTGTCGAGCTTTAACCACAAATTCATGTATCAGTATATACTGTTTGTTCATGCAATGTAAGGTCGCAACTGTACCTAGTTAGGGCTAAATAAATGTATAAAATTTATACACTCGATATTTCCATCTACAAATTTACATTATTTTACACATTATATCATTAATCAGCTGACTCTCCATTGGGGCTTTTCAGTTACCGATTATACATGAATGTTACTTACTTATTTACGTTATTGTTACTTACTTAGCCTAGACTATTTATCTTTTACAACCATTGATATATTACTTTCCCAACTGTGTTCATCTTAACCCACCCTGCCAACTTGCCCTGTGGGAGGAAACAGGAGCACCCGGAGAAAACCCACTACTTTCGGCAGAGCGTTGTCTGACTCTCTTCACATGAGTCCGTAGTGAGAATCGAAGCCACGATCTCAGAGGTGAAAGACGCTTGCTCTGACGATTGCGTCACCGAAGCCCGTTCTAATATTATCAATGACGTTTTACAGGCCCAGAAGAAGAGAAACCAGAAGCAAAATACACAGATTTTCTCAAGACATACTTTGGTCATTCTAACTTCAGACCGTAAGTGCTATTGATCGTGCTAATGCTGCATTGTATATATTATACCATTGATATTCACGGCTCACATCAGTTTTACGCGCTTCTGGTAAGTACATTTTCCGAAGAATTTTCAACAATGCGTTGCTTTTGACATTTCAACACATTCGGGAAGTGTACTTGCCAAAACCAAGCGTAGAAAGGCCTGTTAGATGGCGTGATGGCAGTTGATCGTTGTATAGTAATTATAAACCACTTTTATTCACGGTAAAGTTAACGGTTTCAGCTCTGACATGCACACATCGAAATATTTTCCTCAGTGAGCTTCTCAGTGAGTGTCTTAATGGAACTTAAAATTGATGTACGGATATTGTTTCGCAAAGCCTGGTTTCCATATGGTCGTAATGGTCGTAAAAATAGACTCACGATCTTTCTCAACGGCCAGTTTATGTACTGCTTAATAAACGAGCAGGAGTGTTTTATTAGGTTTAAAGCCACCAGCGCGCAGCGCGATTGGCTTTAGACATAATAAAACACGACCTGCGAGTTTATTAAACGGCTTCAAACACGACTACAAATTCAATAGATATGCTGCATATTAGTATTCTTTACAGTATATAAAAATACTAATCAGGACACGACTACAATAGATACTGCCTTATTAGTATTCTTTATATAAAGAATACTAATTAGGAGTGTTTTATCAGGTTTAAAACCACTGCACGTGACATACTATGGTTGACATGATTTGCCAATAAGCTTATGAATTATTAATGAGTGTTTGAAATGGAGAATAGTACATGGATGCGCGGAAATACCAGATTTATTTCGAGTGTTGAACATGATATTTATTATATAAAGGACAGTCTTTGAAAAGCGATAATTTTTACAGAAAAGCGATAATTGAAAAGCGATAATTTTCACATGTGAGATTATCATAAATAATCTCACATGTGAGATTATCACTTTTATCAGTGCTCGAAATCGCTATAAAGCACTATGCTTTATATAATAAAATAGTTTATTCAGTATACAATACTTGTGAATCACATATAGATCATAAGTATTCTCTAGTTACTGTATATTAATTATATCTGCGCATTTTCAGTTCTAAAATGTTGTATTTCGGCTGATGTGAAAGATTGTGACTCGATCTTTACGACCGTTACGACCATATGGAAACCAGGTTTTAACGGTTTCAGCTTTGACACACATCAAAATATTTCCCTGAGCGAGCTGGAACTTAAAATTGATGTACAGTATACGGATATTGTTTCGTAAGGCCTGGATCAAACGAGAATGAGAGTTGGCAGTCACGCGATCTTGGTTAGTTGGAACACTCATCTAACCTCTATTTTGTTAATCTAGAGCTTGTCCCTTGTAACACTGCGTGACTATCAACTCACGGTTTGACCGAGGTCTAAAGCTATTTCGATAGCGTGATACATACCTGACTCTGTACTATATCGTTGTATCTTAAGGTAGCGAGCATAGGTACAAACCAAGGCACAATTCTGGCTTTGTGTTTAGAGTACATGTATCACTATTGAATCAGGTGTCTTTATGACCTATTTTAGGATGCAGTGGAAAATAATTAGTTCAATTATTGATAAGAAAAGAGATGTCTGTGTGGTCATGTCTACAGGTTAGTGCAACGAGCTATACCCAGGGACCGGTAACATTGCAAGGCTGTAAAGAGAATCTTAGCAAAACCAGAAAACCGGTCTAAATACCTACTAATCCAGTTTTTACAAACATGTTCTAATTTGCACTGCATATATCTGTACAAAGGAATATAAAATTTATTAGCAAAATGTTTAACATTTTGAGTCAAAATTTGATCCATATTTGAGCTCTCTCAAGAAGAGGTGCATGAATATTCTGGGGATCGTGCAAAACGATCGTCGGGGATCCCTCTATGTATATTCCTGGTATATCGATAAGGTCATGGCAGGATCTAGTCTGTGCATGTAACACCTTATTGTAAGTTCTGTGACACAGGTTAGGCAGGAACTTAACGAGGATTTTGCAAACATATTGACTGATTCGAAAACTAGCTAACACAGTTTTGCATTATTTTATATTTCATGCTGTACCAGGCTAACAAATATTTTTTCAACAAAGGTTGTCATGTAAGGCAAAGTGTACAAGTTTAAGATTGAAAACAATCCATGCAAGCGAACTTGTAACCCTTTGAAATGTACAAAAACGGACCAAAACGACGCTAGTCAGGCTGGTACGGTAAATTAGCATCAAACGTCGGTGTTTTTTACATTCAATTTCTCAAAGAGAATACATGGAATTATATTATTTTATCCTTTGTGAAACTTTTACTCTTGATGTACAGTTTTCTATAAGGCGGCAGTGATTACCATGGTTGAAATTAATTTTAAGAGAAATTGAAGGACAACCGCCTTTCGAATCGGCCAGTGCCCTAAATTGCAAGATCCTAAAGCCGGTGTTCCACTAGGTGCAATATTGCGTGCAGAGCGAAGTCTTTCTTTGTCTTGTGATTTCTCGGGTGGAACAAATTACAAAAGACAAAGAAAAATTGCGCGAGGGCGCAAAATTCCGTCTAATGGAAAAACCTGCTTAAAGGACATTGGCAGTAAAAAATTAATTTGTCTCATTCAAAATACTGTAACTGTTAAAATTATGTATTAAACTCTATTACCGATTTGTCGTATCTTGTTTAGCTCTCGAAATATTTAGCCCGAAATTAATGAGCTGGGGCCGGTTGTACGAAGGTCGGATAGTGATATCCACCGGATAGTGATTATTTCAACCTTTGTAAAATGCTTGAAAAACTGTGAAACTACGGATATAGACGACACAAGAAGTATAAAAAACATTCAACTTACAAGCAACGACTGATTTAACAAAGCTTGAAAAAATCACTATCCGGTGGATAGCGCTATCCGGCCTTCGTACAACCGGCTCCTGTCCGCCATCTTGGACTTATTCTTTACCTCATTAACTATGGTTTTGATGACGTCAGGAGTTGGGTTTATCATATAAAACCACTCTAAAATGACCGAGTAACAATCCAAAATTGTTTGAAATGTTTTTAATCATTTCTAAATTTCAGACAGCAACCAGAAACGAAGGTTTGGACCCATATTGATCGTGACCCCTCTCTTGACGTAACATGTATATCCTCTATAATCCAAGATGGCGAATAGCTCACTTTTTTCAGTCGAAATATTTTGAAAATTAAGCAAGATATAAACAATCTGTCATAGTGTTTAATACAGTATATAATTTTAAGAATTTTTTCAAATCAACCGAACTTTATTGCCAATGTTCTTTAAACGATATTACTGGATCATTTTTAAGATTTTTTATCATGAATGTCTTTGGTACGTGTAGGTTATGGTAAAAGTCTATGTTATCAATACCCTGCTATTTATACTGGAAAAACTACAATTGTTGTCTCGCCACTTATCTCGCTGATGCAAGATCAAGTACAGAAACTGGAGTAAGTACAGTATATCAACGCTGGATAGTTTTCTCAGATTTAAACCGTTCATCCTTTCATTTATAATTTATTTAACTTTATAACTACGGTAACAATTACAAGATTAAGACTAAAATACGCAGTAAGGAGAGGCTAGCAACCCAAGCCAAGCCAAGCCCATGATCTTTAGCCCAAGGTCAAAAACAAGGCAAGCTTTCCTACGAGCACACATTACATTTATATATAAAAAAGAAAAACAAGGACAAGAAAGAAAAAAGAGAAATAGAGCTAGAAACAGCTGTGACATGCTGATGATTAGATTGTTTGTGACATTTTGTGCACATAGTACGCCAAGTGCATGTAAATGTCATGGATTTTAAATCTTGCTGTAAAACATTCAACTAAGTATTTTCGAAGTGATATTTTAAACGAGTTTGTTGAGGTCCAGTATAAGGGCCAAGCTTTCATTGGCAGGGATGCAACTACCTGAAAATATAAAGAGAATTTCGTCGTTTCAAGCGAAGGCCCTTCTGAGAGTTATCCCTCCAGAGTTAAGCTCATCGCCAGTGCTAAGGGCCAAGGATTTGGAAATTAGCGGAAAACATTTTAAAAAGAATTTCACAAATCAGATTAGTGTTAAGTTGCTCAACTTAATGTGTGTGATATCTATTATACTGTACTTTAATTTGCCAATAATATAATTATGAACTGTGAACTCAATATGTGTGTTGTTACATTTATTTTTTGCCATTTCTTAATATCACAAAGACCAAAAATATATACTGTTGTTTTTGGTGTTACTCTGAGTGTACATCCACACCGGGCAAGCTGAAAAGATTGCTTGACCACGGTGGTAATCGAACCCGTGACCGTTGGGATACTAGTCCAATGCTCTACCAACTGAGCTACGAGTCAAGTCGGTTCGAGTTTGTAATATTTCGGAACAGAGTCTAGTTCCTTGAACTTCCTTCGATATTGACCTCGTAGCTCAGTTGATAGAGCATTGGACTAGTATCCCAAAGGTCGCGGATTTGATTTCCACCGTGGTCAGGCAAATTTTTTACTGTAGCTTGCCCGGTGTGGATGCACACTCAGAGTAACACCACAAACATGATCATATTCACCTGAGACCAACACACACAAAAAGTACAGTATATACTGCATGTATAATGTACTGTTGCTGTAATTACTGTTCTTTATATTTTGTTTCAAATTTCAATATCTATCTGCTATCTGACCAGATTAGCCCATAAGTGATTATTTGAATCAGACTGTTACACTCGTTGTTTTGTTACTGCAACTTAAGTTTATGTAATTTTCTGAGTGAAATAAAGGTTAGAACTCAAAGTCAGTTCAGACCATCCCGACAATTTTAGGAAGATTGGAAAAATCACTGTCAGGCCTTCGTACGACGCTTCGTTGAGTAATCAGAATAATCCAGAGTGAATTGTTTTTTACAGAGTGTTCAATATACCTGCATGTTACCTTGGCTCAGCTCAATCTAACCATGTCTCATTGAAAGCTGGTGTTATGAGGTATGTATCATGTATTATTTTGTATAATACACCGTTCCAGGAAAGTGCGTCACTTCAGTTTTCGTGTATGTGATAATAGTTAATAGTTAAAAGCATCAATCCCGAAAACGAGGCTCAATATAGTCCACGTGACGTACTGTACTTTCCGAAAGCGTGCATTAGTAGAAAATTGAAAAGACACGAGATATTTCCACCAATACACATGCAGGGCGTTCAAAATAAGCTGGCGGCCACCGGAGCTCGGACGGGTACCATGAGTCTATATTGTTTATAGTACTTGAAATATCAATTCTGCCACCATTCCTCCACTAAGCTTTCAAACAAAGTTATTTTTTCCCCAACCTGGTCGGACTACTTTATAGCCGGGTTATTTTCCAAAACGACGGACTATTTCGTAAAACTGATTTGCCATCTTAAATGTTGAAGTTATCTTGTTGAAGAATGAAAGTAGCGTTATAATTTGTTTACAAAGCTCAGTTTTGTTGTGTTGTTATCTAATCAATATTACACTGTCTATTTAATTCGAATGACTTTAAGATTTCCTATACCGCCCCTCCCCACAGCTGCATGCCTGCTTTTTCAACACAGCCACCAACCGAGTAATTCTGAAAGCCCCAATATATCTATTTCAGAGGTGAATATCGGATTGTGTATGTCACTCCAGAATATATTACACTGGATACTGAATTTCTTCCAAATGTGCAAAAAAATGTTGGTAAGTTTAAAATTACAATTATGATTACTACCTGATTTGCCAAACATTTAAAATATTGAAATAGGGATGGAATGCTAGAGACCGTTTTATAGAAATCACATTGTTCGGTGACAATTAGCCTTTCTCACGGCCGATTTTCCCGCCATTTTGGGGTGCTGCCTCTCGCACGTTTGAGAGACTCCGCACCACGAAATACAACTTTTTAGTATTGTAATTGTTTGTATAATTGCAAATGTACAATTACAACTTTTAAAAGTGGCTTTTCGCGTTTGAATTGTCTAGAATCTTTCACGAGGGCAGACAGTACCCCAAACATGGCGGATTTTGGCCTTCACGAGAAAGGCTAATTCGTCTTGTGACTGGCGACGTATATTCGCCTCCATCTCAAGGGATGGAGGTAAATTTCCTAAGGGGGGGGGGGGATTTTCTGTGATACTGGACATGTCCGGCCGACTCGGCCACTGATAATTTTTTTGTCTCGCAGTTAAGCGTTTTTTTACGACAATCCATCTACTTTTGATATTCATCGACCATGTGCACATGACATGTGGCTCACAATGATGAATATATTTCTTATATTGGATATTTTCCCCATGCATTAATCCGTTGTGTGATTGAACGACACAGTTAAAACGTATACAAACGCTATCAAAGGAAATGCGTAACAGATGATTAGAATATAAATTTGCCAAGTATAAATTTGCCAAGTATCGAATTTTTCTGGAATAACGGTATAATACATAAAATTATCAATATTATCAAGTCGTGCCTGACAGAAAAGTGTCTTGTGCGGTTGACACCGATATATATATATATAGCGGCCGGTGTTGGTATTAGAGAGGTGTGCGTATTAGAGAGGTGTGCGTATTAGATAGGTGTGCGTATTAGAGAGGTGTACGTATTAGAGAGGTGTGCGTATTAGAGAGGTGTGCGTATTAGAGAGGTGTGCGTATTAGAGAGGTGTGCGTATTAGAGAGGTGTGCGTATTAGAGAGGTGTACGTATTAGAGAGGTGTGCGTATTAGAGAGGTGTGCGTATTAGAGAGGTGTGCGTATTAGAGAGGTGTGGATATTAGAGAGGTGTGTGTATTAGAAATTGGACCATGTTATTGAGGTGTGCGTATTAGAGATATATGTGTATTGGAAATTGTAAATGTGGCCACGTGTGTGTATTAGGGAGGTGTGTGTGTGTGTGTGTGTGTGTGTGTGTGTGTGTGTGTGTGTGTGTGTGTGTGTGTATTAAAGAAGTGTTGTTCTCAGAGAGGCGACGTAAGGAGAGCTTCAACAGTAACTTTGTTTTGTCAGGTATCGTATGTGTAGCTATTGACGAAGCACATTGCGTCTCACAGTGGGGCCACGACTTCAGAGTGTCTTACAGAAACCTTGGAAATATTAAAACTAATTTACCTGATGTATGTACATGTTTTTTTTATTGTTTGTTTTTATACTGATTTTACTGCATTTGATATTCCAGTAATTTCATCAATTTTACTATAGCAACATGCTTTACTCGCAATATGCTTATAGCAAGCTTGCATGTCAACAAGTTGTAATAATGCCGCTATTTTATCAAGCTGCTACAAGCTTGTCAAAAAACGCCCCAAATAGAAAAAATCCCAAACTTGACCGTCTGTAATTGCCGTAATGTATACTTTACCCAGTCCGTGCAAGGGTTTATGGGAATTGACTGAACTATATATAGGCCAACACGACAGTTTCTCGTCAGCATTTTACTCCAACCCTATAGCTGACCTGGTGGTAGCTTTATTAATCTCACAAATCTTTCGATCCATCATCCCTGATCTTTGTCAATGTGGATAACAGATTCTTTGCGATATAGACAAATGGTGAAGTGTATTCGAAACATTAAGTCAAGCCCGCTTCCTTATAAACTACAATCACGGACATAACTGGTTGAGACTATCCCCCTCCCCCTACAAAATTCGCATATCCCTTATGAAAAATCCCATGTTGAATCATGTTGCGCTTCTTTAACCCACCTCTCCCAACTCATTGTTGAGCTTGTGTCATGGTAAATTACCGAAAGTTGTTTCGACGTTGTTTACAACATTGAACTGGGGAGACAGAGTTTGTTTTGTCAATGTTCAATAAATTTGCAGTATTGGCTGGATTGGTCTCAAGGGTTTTGTCCCAGATTGTAGAATTAAAGTATCGCTAATGAAGCAATTGGGTGTTTAGGTAGTCATTGTGGCGTTAACAGCGACAGCAACAGCCACGGTACAGAAAGACATCTGCTCTAGTTTGAAACTGAAGAATCCTCTAGAAGTGCAGACTAGTTTTAACAGGTATTATTCTGGTTTATTGTTTAGGATTAGAGATCGCGTGCTTTAGAGATCGCGTGCTTTATAGTGCATGCGCTTGAAGTACGTGGTGGGAGGCTACCATGGGATTAAGCTACTGCTCAACATACATGCAATATTAACACTGACAATCTGACTTATAATAAATATATCTTACTCCACGAGCTCCACTGCATGCTCCACTGCTTTGCGATATATTGGAGGTATACGAATCGTGAGGGGATAGGGTGAGTGGCGACCTCTCATCAAAGTGACCGACCCAATTCACGATGATTCGATCTTAAGAACAACCACAAGCAAGCTTTCCTCCAACGGAACGTTCTCCATCCTGGCTTGATTTGCACGTTATCTTGTAGACGTGGATATTACGCGTAAAAGTATAGACACAGCTTTGAAAACTAGTTACGGATCTAGTCAAAGTTTGTTGCAAACAACAAGCTTGTAACAAGCTTGTCAACAAGTTGCAACAATGCTGTTATTTTATCAAGTTGCTACAAGGTTGCCGTCGCTCTCAACTTGGTGGCAAATTGTTGAATTGCGGGACGATAACAAGTTATTGGAACAACTTGTAACAAGGCTGTTGAGCTCAGCAACCTAGTTGCAAGTTGTCAACAAGCCTTTAACAACTTGTCAACAAGCTCGGAAAAAGCAGAGCGGACACATCCTGATAATGTGAGTTTTTACATGTGTAGGACTCGACCAGCCCATACTGAGGAAACCAATGATTCATAGAAAACCCATTACTCTCGCTGGTAATCAAATAAACGTGGCGGACAACGCTACAGTCGTTACCTTCCCCAACACGGTTAATAAATGCATTAGGTTTGACTTTTTTTATCCACTGATACAGTAGCTGATATTTTATTATAAAACTAAATTTACTAATTTAATTTAATTTAATTTAAAACTTTAAATACTGTATTTAACTAGTGATGTATATTTAACTCCTTTTTTCCATTTTTCAAAGGCCAAATCTGTTCCTTGAAGTGAACAGGAAGACATCATCGGTTGCACACGACTTGAAATCTCTTCTTATTCAGAAGTCCAAGTATGAAGTGTTTTTATATCAAAATATTTTTCTTGCTTTACTGTATATGCTAGCGAAGAACTCGACCCTTTAAGCCATAATGTGCGGAAAGGAAACAGGTGGGAAAATTTGTCCACGCTTGCGCCTTCTAATTTCGTGGACCTCGAGCGTAAGAATTTTCCTGCAAGAAAAGATGGAAAATTCTATGTTTCCTCGGGTAACTGCTAAAGTTTTGTGCAAAAATTATAAAGAACTGTATCGAGCCACCTTAAATCTCATTCTTCAGAATAACTTGTCGAATTTCATGAAAAGAAGCACATTCTTGTAACCTGTAAACTTTAGGTTTAAACTCTTCTGAAATGATTCCTTTGTGTGTTTCATTAAAGAAATGGAGTTCTGAAATCGCTGTCATTATTTTCTAGACGCAATCTGAACAAATCATTTGAAGGTTCTACCATCGTTTATTGTCCTACAAAGAAAGTAACCGAAAGTGTTGCGGATGAGTTGAAAGGTTAGTGGAAAATATTGTTATCATAATCAAAATCTGAATCGCTGCAATAACCATGGGGTCGCCGTAACCTGGGAAACCTGTGGCGAATTCCCTGGCGCTGTATGAGATCATTAATTAAATCATTAAACCAGAGGTCGGTAGTAAGAAGGCTGGATAGCGCTATCCACCAGAATATTTGAAACTTTCTAAAATTGTCTCAGGTTAATTGGTATAACCCAAATAAACCTTAGTACTTACTAATATATTTAACAATAATTCAATTTAGTATAATTACATAGGTGATTATTGAAAATTCTCCACGCTGATTGGTTACCGTTGAGGTGATTATTACGCGATAATCACCTAAGCGATTTTCAAAATGGCGGCCGAAGCCTTTTTGTCAATTAAAAGACGAAGAAATGTGCATTTTTAATTTTTTTTCCAAATAATCACCCATGAAATTATACTAAAACAATTATTCACCTCAGGCTCGGTGATTATCGTGAATAAAAACCTCGACTTCGTCTCGGTTTTTATTCACCGATAATCACCTCACCTTCGGCGAATAATTGTTAAATAATTAATTATATTCTATTATTATTATAATTATATTATAATTATAATATAATTAATTATAGTGGAAGGATTTGAATACTCGTTGGGATAAATGACTGTAGTGTGATTAAGATAAGGATTTTGAACCAACTTCGCCTAAAAACAAGGATTTTCAACCAAAAATCTCAAAATTTCCCACATTAGCAAGTGTGCCCCCAAAACGGTGCTGCAGCTTGTTCGGCCGCGCTACGTACCCCGTCACTCAACACCTCCGAACTCGCCCCTCCCCCGAGCCAAATATGGAAATCCGTCTATGCACCGCCACTGAGGTGAATAATTGTTTTAGCATATAACACAATGAAAAAAAATTGCTCGTATGTAATCAGAACGAATTTTGTTTTTGTCCGGAGGTGAATATAGTGCAAGTATACCTGGAGATGAGCAACCAAGCAAATACTCGAAAAGCACTATCCACCTCCCAAGTCAGGGCTTACAGAATTATTCTGAGTAGGTGTCTGTATTGATAGAGCAGGCGGCTGTTAGGAGGGGGGCGGTCTGTCTAGGGGGTCTTAAACTAGTGTATATTGATTAGATAACAACACAACTGAGCTCTGTAACCAAGTTATAATGTATCACCACTTTCATTCTTCAACAAGATGACTTCAAGATTTAAGATGGCAAATAACTGAAATAGTGTACGTCGTTTTCAAAAATAACCAGGCTATAAAGTGGACCAGGTTGATGAAAAATAACTTGAAAGCTTAGAGTGGAGGAAGGAGAACAGACTTGATATTTTCAAGTACTAAACAAAGTAACCGGCGGTAAACATCGTAGCACTTGCTGGAGCTCCGGCGGCCGCCCGCTTATTTTGAAAGCCCTGCAAGTATCGCTTTTCAAGCTTTTCAAGCATTTCCACAACAGTTGAAAATATCACTATCCAGTGGATAACGCTATCCGGTCTTCGTACAACCGACCCCAGTCGATTAAGAAAAACCAGCCTGAAATTTAGGCTGTACGCAAGCAAATACAACAACCACTTCTTGCTAACAAAGAACCACTTGTGGTTTGCATCTGTACTGAGATAAAAACTGTGTTTCCCCAAGGTGTTGGAGTGAATTGTGAGGCATACCATGCAGGACTATCTAAAGAAAGACGAACACGTGCTCACTCCATGTTTATACGAGATGAAGTACAGGTACTGATCTTAATATTTATCTAGAGTGATACGGGAATTTTACATAGAGAAATTCCTCGGATCGTTTTGAAGGATTTGTAAGAAATGCTTGACGGAATGTGAAAGTTAAACTAAGTTAAACTAAAAGAAAAATTAAACGTTGTCAACATATTTTAGTGTATCGTGGCGACAGTGGCTTTTGGGATGGGCATTGATAAGCCTGATGTGAGAAGTGTCGTACATTATGGAGGTAGGATTACTATCTTCACTTCAGTAATCTGTATCACAGACCTAACGCTATTAGTAGTATTGTATATTTCACATAATTTCACGACGTATATAAAGTTAGACGTAATAAAACATTGTATTATACATTATATCAAAAAATAGGTACGCCCGGCGTACATGTATCTGCACAAAGGAACTGCATGGTTGCTATGAAAAAAATTTCATTCACAATTATTGAGTAAACACTTATCTTTCCTGATATGACAAAGAATGTTCAGATTTTAGTCTCTTCTTTACCCCAATCAACTCTCAGAAAGCCACCTTTTTGCATCTACTGATTTTTAATCAGTAGAAGCATTGTCAGGAGAAATTAGATGACGTATCGATGTAATGAATTGCGAGCATAGGATTGCGAGCGAAATTCGGTTATCTACGGTTGATTCCGCTGTTGTCCATTAATGGTTTTGTCAATAACACGATTGCAATACGAAGAATGCCGTATAACTGCACGAGAGGATTACGACTTTGTATGTTCATATCTTCGGTTCAGTGCTAGGTTAGTTCAGTGCATGCTACGAAGACAATAATATACCACCATTCGATTCAGTGAAACAATATGAACTAATTCTTTACAATAGTTTTAGTCATTATCAACATTGTAGTGGTTTATGGCCTTTGAAAGTCAAGCGAGATATATCATCGTATATTATCAAATTACGCAATTGTCTGAACAAAAATATAAACTAGCCATACGGCCCATACCTTTCGTCAAACATAACTTCGGCCCCTTTGGACGTATCTTCTTTGCAATATTCCTGTTCGAATCATTATCAATAACACACGGTGTAGAGTGTTTATATTTTCGAGCTTGTATCTTCAAATTTGCATCTTTTAGTTTTATCGCGGTATAATTCCTATTTCTGGCCTGACTGTGAGCTAATACCAACCGGAAATACAATTTTAAAACATCAGCAATGCGACGTTTGTGCTGTGACTCTGAAAATGCTATAAAACCGATTCCAAAGATCGGAGTGCACACCTGTATGTTTTTATCTGCTCAATGCCTTTTATTTCCCGTTGCTACTATTCAGTAGATGCATGTAGGCCACAGCGGACCTATGTTTTATAATTTAAACAGCAGGGTCCGGTTGTATAAAAAAGTGATTAAAGTTAACTATAATTAAGTGCAAACATCATCCAATAACAAACGCCTATTTGAGAGTTAATCACTATTTAACTACAAAATAGTGATTAAAAAAGTGATTAAGAGTTTTATACAACCGGCCCCAGAATAGGAGTTATATATGAAATGGGTAGATAATTGCCGAGGCAAAAAAAATATGTGGGTTTCCGGTTTCCCGACCCTACCTAGCTTTTGGACGCCGAAATCCCGACCCTAAACTTTTTTATTGGATCATGCTTATAAGTGTTTCCACTTAGAGGAAAACGTTTGTGAAAATGGAAATTTGAGGCAATATTAAGGAAATTTATCTTTGAATGTGGAAGCACTGCCTAAACGAAATGCCGTCCTGGTGATTGCTAGAAAGTATACTTCAAAATAAGGTTTCCGTTTTTATAACGTAGAAAAATCCATTCTGACGCAAAACTAAACCCTAATACTAACCCCAACCACAATCCCAAACCTAACCTAACCCTAACCTAACCCGAGGCCGAACTTATTTTAAAAATTGATATAAGAACGGAAACCTTATTTTGAAGTATACTATCTAGCAATTGCCATGGCGTCCGGTTGTTAGGAAAATAAAAGTAAAAGTTAAAAAAAGAGTTAAAACCGACTTACCCTACCTAAGTTTTTACATTAGAAATAGGAAACCCACATATTATTTTTGGCCTGAGGTAAATACTGTATCCAAATTTAAATTGATTTAATAACATAATTATGTATGCTAATGAAACATACAATCTGTAAAGGAATTTTTATTTTTCTCAGCCAATCACAGTCCGCCACTTCACCGCGGAAGCGATGCTTGCCATATAATAAAATACGTGTTTCACCGAAATATATCTGCCTATCATCAGGCAATATATATATATATATATATATATATATATATATATATATATATATATATATATATATATATATATATATATATATATATATATATATATATATATATATGAGACGATGGATGTGGGACGCATGAATATATATACGACAAGAACGCCATTCAACCTAATGGCGTTCTTGTCGTATATATATTCATGCGTCCCACATCCATCGTCTCATTGTTGGTTGTATAAATACTTTTCGGATGAAAAGCTCACTATCAGCTACACTGCGCTGACGAGCCCCAAAAGGGCGAAACAGCTGTCCGCAGTTGCTGGTAGTGAGCTTCGGGCATATATATATATATATATATATATATATATATATATATATATATATATATATATATATATATATATATATATATATATATATATATATATATGGCGCTCTTGTCGTATATATAATTTATGTGTCCCACATCCATCATCTCATTGTTGGTTGTATAAATACTTTTCGGATGAAAAGCTCACTATCAGCTACACTGCGCTGACGAGCCCCAAAAGGGCGAAACAGCTGTCCGCAGTTGCTGGTAGTGAGCTTGGGGCACAATTGCCTATAGGCCTTTGCGCTGATTTAAATCTGTGACATGCAGAGATCATGCGTATTAGGTTGAATGGCGTTCTTGTCGTATATAATTTATGTGTCCCACATCCATCATCTCATTGTTGGTTGTATAAATACTTTTCGGATGAAAAGCTCACTATCAGCTACACTGCGCTGACGAGCCCCAAAAGGGCGAAACAGCTGTCCGCCGTTGCTGGTAGTGAGCTTGGGGCACAATTGCCTATAGGCCTTTGCGCTGATTTAAATCTGTGACATGCAGAGATCATGCGTATTAGGTTGAATGGCGTTCTTGTCGTATATATAATTTATGTGTCCCACATCCATCATCTCATTATTGTTGGTTATACATATTATATATATATATATATATATATATATATATATATATATATATATATATATATATATATATATATATATATATATATATATATATATATATATATATATATATATATATATACATATATATATATTTATTTAATCTTAAAAATGGTATATGTTGCTACTCAGAGTTTCATGCAATTTCGCAATCTTCAGGCAACTGTTATTACAAGTAAGTTCAGTTTTGTTTGTTGACGCTACTCACTAACGGTTTGCTGACGCATGCGTTCGTTGGTCGCGCACGCTCTCAAATTTTCCCGCGTGGAATTTCTCTGCGTGGCGGCACTTCGCGAATATTTCCGATCTTCTATTAAGGGTTCTATTTGCCTTTAAAAGGCACAGTTTTTCATGTATATATATATATATGTACATGGTTACAGTACTTTAATTTGCACAATTTTCGGGGCGCGGATGCCCCCAAATCGCTGTGCGGTTCCTGTGTATAGAAACACGACAATCCATTTACCTTCAAGTCCAGAATTTGGAGTTGTACAATCTGCAACATAAGACACTCAACTTATGAAGCAATCGCATAATTCTAAGATGTCCTGTGACTAATGTACCATATTAAGCACTATAGTTAAAACATGAGCAGCCATTCTTTATCTGGTATACAAACTCGAGCCGAGGGCGACATTTTGTACATCAGATAAAGATCGAATGCGAATGTTTTAACGTGCTTCAAAAACGACCCATTTTATGAGTTCATTGGCGAAGTAATTTTAAAAATAAACTTTATCTAAGCCGAGGAAATCAAAGCTGAAGTTTATGTAAATCAGGCCAAATCTTTATGCAATTTCCAACATTGATTAAACATTCATTTCTTTTGAATTTTCTTCATGAATTATTAATGAGTTTTTTAACATCCATACATAATTAGTAATAGACAATCGATATTATTAAAAAAAACATGCACGGTTACTCACGAGAAAGCTTTAACATCCCGATGTTACTTCGGGCAATCTTCTAGGATATAACAAAAAGTTGTTTTTTTATCGGACAATTTTGACTTATCAACAGTCAAACAAACAGTTTCTCTATACATAGCAACGCCTCGTCAGCCTGTAGAAACCTCCATATTTGTTTTGTTTAATTTTACGCCCTGTTCGCAGGCGTACATCCTGTTCTCAGCCGTAATTCCTTCGACTTGAGTGTTTAACGCACGCACAAAGCACACACAACTCGATAGAATAGTATCTAGCGCTAGCACAGATGCAAAAAGGAATAACAATTCTACTTCTCCAATCCCAGAACTCTGTTCCTCGTTAATTTCAAAAACAGTAATTCAAACATCGTCTTGGCCCAGGAGTATGACCAAATTGCACATGTATGATAATTTACTAAATTAAACTAATATTATTTCAGCTCCGAAAGATATCGAGTCCTACTATCAAGAAATAGGACGAGCTGGCAGGGATGGGTAGGTAGAAAATGTACAACTTTCAAATATAGTTCAATCAGACCCAGGCCTCGAATTTCTCTGAAATCAGTCGACGGCAATGGTGTTAAAAATTGCTATAGAACATAACAGCTGTCTACGCCAATTTTGGCAGTTTCCACGGCATTTTTCAAATTACTGAAATAAAAATGTAATTTTATTGTTACTTTGGATTGTTGAAACATGTTTGCGTATTTCTTTAGTGTTTTTTTTTTCGAAGAAAACTGAGACTAAAATAGTAATGTATGCATGATTTGATCAACATTTGGATTCAAGTATCAAAACAGTGAATACTATAAAAAATACATTATACGGCAAAACATTGCCGTCGTTGCCGCAATGATCCACGGCATTTGGTTCTCCCTCCACGGCAATTGCCGCGATAAAATTCAAGCCCTGTTCAGACCACTCTTTTCTTATTTGGTTGGGTTACAGATTTCCCGACCTCGTATTTATTTTGCGAGCAAATAAAAAAATGCGCGAGCCTATGCTCAAAAGGTTCAAAAGTTTATATTCTTCTAATTAGATTGACTGTCTGTATGCTATGTTTATTTATATTTATCATGGCTTAAAATTTTTACATTTTTGCGTATTTATGAATTTGTTGCAATTGTATTATTTTGTAGGCTGCCTAGTGCATGTTATGTCTATTACAACACCTCTGATTTTGCTCTTAGCAGGTAAGTTGAGATTTTTATTTTGAAAGCTGCCTAAAACACGTAATTTAATTGGTTAATGTGTTGCCAGCCCTTGATTATTGGAACCCGAACCACCTAAAATGGGCTTATAAAAACCTTCACACACGGTGGCTTCCGGTATGGAATACTACCAACATTAGACTTACTGTAGCATCATTAGTGTCACATCATTAATATCGGATCATTAGCGTCAGGTCATTAGTGTCAGGTCATTAATGTCGGATCATTAGTGTCAGATCATTAGCGTGGTAGATTATAGTATCAGATCATTAATGTCAGATCGTTAATGTCAGATCGTTAATGTCAGATCATTAATGTCAGATCGTTAATGTCAGATCGTTAATGTCAGATCGTTAATGTCAGATCGTTAATGTCAGATCGTTAATATCAGATCGTTAACATCAGATCGTTAATGTCAGATCGTTAATGTCAGATCGTTAATGTCAGATCATTAATGTCAGATCATTAATGTCGGATCATTAATGTCAGATCGTTAATGTCAGATCGTTAATGTCAGATCATGAATGTCAGATCGTTAATGTCAGATCGTTAATGTCAGATCGTTAATGTCAGATCGTTAATGTCAGATCGTTAATGTCAGATCGTTAATGTCAGATCGTTAATGTCAGATCGTTAATGTCAGATCGTTAATGTCAGATCATGAATGTCAGATCGTTAATGTCAGATCGTTAATGTCAGATCATGAATGTCAGATCGTTAATGTCAGATCGTTAATGTCAGATCGTTAATGTCAGATCGTTAATGTCAGATCGTTAATGTCAGATCGTTAATGTCAGATCGTTAATGTCGGATCGTTAATGTCAGATCGTTAATGTCAGATTATTAGTGTCAGATTATTAGTGTCAGATTATTAGTGTCAGATCATTAATGTTAGATTATGAGTGTCAGATCATTGGTGTCAGATCATAATGTCAGATCATTACAGTAATTGTAGATCATTAGCGTAAGATCATGAATGTTAGATCATTAGTGTCAGATCATTAGCGTCAGATCAGTTAAGGTCAAATCAGTTAAAGTCAGATCATCAGTGTCAGGTCATTAGTGTCAGATCATCAGTGTCAGATCATTAGTGTCAGATCGTTAGTGTCAGATCGTTAGTGTCAGATCATTGGTGTCAGAAGATCATTAGTGTCAGATCGTTAGTGTCAGATCATTGGTGTCAGATCATTAGTGTCAGATCATTAGTGTCAGATTCATTAGTGTCAAATCATTAATGTCAGATTATTAATGTCAGATCATTAGTGTCAGGTCATTAATGTCAGATTATCAGTGTCAGATCATTAGTGTCAGATCATTAGTGTCAGATCATTAGTGTTAGATCATTAGTGTCAGATCATTAATGTCAGATTATTAATGTCAGATTATTAATGTCAGATCATTAATGTCAGATCATTAATGTCAGATTATCAGTGTCAGATTATCAGTGTCAGATCATTAGTGTCAGATCATTAGTGTCAGATCATTGGTGTCAGATCATTAGTGTCAGATCATTAATGTCAGATCATTAATGTCAGATTATTAGTGTCATTGTTGCGGTGCCCAAACGAACTTTGATATCACTGCATAATTTTTCTTTGTCTGTTAGTTAATAATCATAAGCCTTGATATTTATTAAAAATTAACTTGTTTTCGCGCTTGTGATGCACTTGCTTTGCGCATGGCCAGGGCGCCACACTGTAGTAATATGTCCGCAGCATAGTTGATTATTTACTGTTGTTATCTTACTCCCCAACAGGCATTTTGCGTATGCAATCACAAATGAAAAATTCAGAAATCATAAACTTGCCATGATACAGAAACTGGAGCAGTATTTAAACACAACCAGTTGCAGACGAAGGTAGAGTATAGTCAAGTTGTCACATGGGGTTAGGGCCACCCAAGTGGGTTGGGGTGGAGGTGGTTGTTTGCCCCCAGGGCCACCAAATTTCTGATATCAACAGGCATTTTGCATATGCAATCACAAATGAGAAATTCAGAAATCATAAATTTGCCATGATACAGAAACTGGAGCAGTATTTAAACACAACCAGTTGCAGACGAAGGTAGAGTATAGTCAAGTTGTCACATGGGGTTAGGGCCACCCAAGGGGGTTGGGGTGGAGGTGGTTGTTTGCCCCCAGGGCCACCAAATTTCTGATACAAGATTGCTTAAAAGCGAGAATATAAATCCACAGTGCCGGATAATATGCGATATAATGCGTAGTATTTGTAAAACACCGTTTCTCCCGTTTTTATAATCATATGCAATTATGAAATCGAGCCTTTATAAAAGCCTCTGCGCTGAGCAGAGAGGAGCTTCAATTAAAATTCTGCAAAATACGTGTTTGCGATTGATGTAGATTGTTTGTTTATGAAATATTAATATGAGCGGCCGTGTTGATATACAAACTCGAGCAGAGGGCAAGCTGTATTACAGGTTGAATAACGTAAGGATTTCAACAGTTAACGAATTATTCATACCGAAGTGATTTTAAATGAGAAAATGGTGGAAAATTTTGCGTATGCGGGTAATAACAACGCAACCCAAAACATTGATTTCTTGATGAATTATTAATGAGTTTTACAAGAACATTTTTAGAAGCTGAAACTTTTTTTATTCCAGGCATATCCTTTCTCACTTTGGAGAAATATTACCACAGGAGAAAAACTCTGAAGAAGAATGTTGTGATAATTGTCAGAGAAGGTGAGAAAGATTTCTCTTAGTTAACGTCATCGTCTTCTTTACCAGAATCGCAATTCCCCCTTTCCGGAAAGTATTAATCCTTAGCTATATAGCCTTGTTTTCGTGTTTGCATAGCGCCTTTCACAGTCAAAGGTTAAGGTTAGAATTATGGTCAACATTAATGCATAAACAAAAACAGCATGGTTGGAATCTATAACCGTCGACTCAGTCGCCCAGTGTATTATTGCAATAGCTTTGTGAAATAGTTTTTCAGCCACCATTCAAAAGCTTTCGGAATTTTTTGTTTGGGGGGAGGTTTCAAACCTGCTCTCACCCCTCCCCCCCCCCCCCCCCCCCCCCCCCCCCCCCCCC